GATGAGAACTATGCCAAGGGCATTGAGTGGTATAGGAAAAAAATGCCATTTTCATATCCTCATCAAATAACCATTGAGAAAAGCCCTGCATACTTTATCACAGAGGAAGTCCCTGAAAGGATTTATAAAATGAACTCATCCATCAAATTACTGATCATTGTCAGGGAACCCACAACAAGAGCTATTTCTGATTACACTCAGGTGCTGGAGGGAAAGGAAAGGAAGAATAAAACCTACTACAAATTTGAAAAGTTGGCCATTGATCCTAACACCTGTGAGGTGAACACTAAATACAAGGCAGTAAGAACCAGCATCTACACCAAGCATCTGGAGAGATGGTTAAAATACTTTCCCGTAGAGCAGTTTCATATTGTTGATGGCGATCGTCTCATTACAGAACCGCTGCCAGAACTCCAGCTGGTAGAAAAGTTCTTAAATCTTCCTCCAAGGATAAGTCAATATAATTTGTATTTCAATGCCACCAGAGGGTTTTACTGCTTGCGATTTAACATTGTCTTTAACAAGTGCCTGGCGGGAAGCAAAGGACGCATTCATCCAGAGGTAGATGCCTCTGTCATTACCAAATTGCGCAAGTTCTTTCACCCTTTCAATCAGAAATTTTACCAGATCACAGGGAGGACATTTAACTGGCCCTAAGACAAACTTCCTACAACACTGTGTGTTGCACCTGGAGATATGCAACCATATCTCTAGTAGAGTATATAAAAAAAATTATGCACTTTTCATACTCTCAGTTATCAAAGTAATCTTTTTTTCATGCGTACTTGTACATATGCAGTGTGTGACCAAATATAAGATGGGATCAATTTTTCTACAGAACATGCGTAACATGAAATTTACTCTCTGCATAATTGCATCATTTTATGCTGTACAATTAAATGAGAAAATGTCATTTAAAGAAATTAACTCAGCTACTCCGTTCAAAGGGTCAGCACTCTATTTGCTCCATAAAATTTAATATTAAACGTAGCTGGAGAGAGGGCAGAATATTGCTTTAAAATTCATCGCGATTCTAATTCACTGCAATTAGAATCCATTTTTGAAAAAATCTGCAATGCAATATTGTATTTCTAAATATTGTTTAGAAATATTATATTTCTATTATAACATATTTCTAAAAGAATATTGGCCCTTTAAAAAGAATACATTTATGCTGCAGGCTTATATCGGCTTATCACTGCTCCCTAGGAAACCTCTATTTTGGTAACAAGAAGAGGCTAATAACATTTTTATGAACAATTCTCACTACTTCCATGAATTGGGGTGGGGAAAATTATGCCGATTAAATGGATGAAAAGCCAGTATAACTCTGCTGTATGATTATACCCTATATGATGCTAAGTTCTTTTGAAAAATATTTTCCTAGTGTTGAAAAGAAACTTTCTCATGCAATCAACATAGTTTCAAATTTCCTGTGGTGAGTTTGCACTATTGTTTTTAATTGTATGGATCATCTTGGCACTTAGAGCATGTCAATCATGTGTCAAAACAGAAGTCTTTTTTCTCCCTTCTATGCTTGTATGTTGACAAAAATTTGATGTACATATTGTATATTGTTTGTAAATACTGGTTTCACACTAAGTAATTCTATTTTGTAAACTAAATATGGCTATTTAATTTATTGTGAAAATTAAATTTATTGTGGTATTTAAAATGGAATGGATTAAAATTGCTATATGTGCAATTTGCTTTTTGTTTTTCTTCAGTGGATGTCTATGATGTCTCATTATCTCAAATAGCAAGCTTTACATTGAAACAATTCACAAGTTCAGCTGGGAGTCAAGGTCTGAGTAACTTGATTGAGTAATATTCAAAAATATGCAAATCCACCATTAAGTTGGTAATCCATAATGACTGCATTGTTGTCAGGTGTATTTTTAGCTGTGTCTGTAAAAAGAAGACTGTATACTATGCAAAAACATCAAGCAAGTATCATTAGTTCTGCAGCTGTAAGAGCATTACAAATGGAAAGCTACCAAAAATGTTTTTAAAATGTTATTATTCCTATAATAAGATGATGGTGCTTATATGGAACTTTTCTGCTTCCATGAATCATATCCATAGGTGCAAATGGAAGCTTAAGTTTAAGGCAATTTATTATAACAATTTAAGAAACTGGATTTTCATGAGAGCACTGCCTAGGATGAATTGGGAAACTCATTGTACTTACTGAAGCTCAGGGTTTCAGCATCAAATCACATTCATTCCAATTCTTCAAGGTTTTTTCATTGATTTCACTAAAAAACTAGATTAAAATAGACTTACAATGAAGTAAAGATGAGTGAAATCACTAGGACATGGGGTTTATGGTTTTAAAAAAGGCTCATTTGGGGTTTTTTGATTCTATGGGAATGAAGAAAGAGAAGGATCTGATGCACTTAAAGGAATGGAAATGTCATTGGATAATGGTTGCAAAGAAATAGCAAGCCCATCTGGCATGGCTGCATGTTAACAATATAAGCCTTTTGCATTTGTGTGTATTCCTCACACGTACATAAGCTAAGTAAAATACACAGAGGTTCCAAAAGTAGTTTGTAACTACTGCATACTGTAGAAGAGGAATTGAGCTATTAGGTTTTCTTTAGATTTCACCACTGTGCTCATAACATCAAGAAAAGCAAAGAATGTAAGTGCAAATCAAGTTTAATTTGACTGGTTTGTAAAGCATAAGGTATTTCAGAGAAAGAAACAGATAACTTTCTATATGTCTATATGCAACTGATCTCTAGGCAGTGAGAAACTAATGGAACTTATTCTTTTAACCTAAAATTAGATGTAATGTACATGTTAAAATACATTTTAATTCAAATCAATCAACTCAGTTAATGAACTGAATAATTATCTCAGTTAATTCACAGAGAATCACATGCAACTGAGGATTGTTAAGAGGGAACTGCCAGAGGAGCTGATGTAATTCCAATCTTCAAGCAGAGGAAAAAAGTGTTCTAGGAAATTACAGGCAAATCAGCTAAACATCAATATTTTGGAAAATCTTGGAAAAGAAAACCAAGCAGCAGATTTGTGAGCATCTAGAAATGACCAGAAGCCAATATGGATGTGTTAAAAAAAGACTACATCAGGCAAACTTTATTATCTTCTTTGATAAAGTGACTAAATTAGTGGATCAGGGAAATAGCAATAGCAATAGCACTTTTGACTTACATACCGCTTCACAGTGCTTTACAGCCCTCTCCAAACGGTTTACAGAGTCAGCGTATTGCCCCCAACAATCTGGGTCCTCATTTTACCGACCTCAGAAGGAATTGAAGTCTGAGTCAATCTTGAGCCACTCAGAATTGAATTCCTGGAGTGAGCAGTGAGTTAGCCTGCAATACTGCATTGTAACCACTGCACCACCATGGCTCTTATCTATGTTAACTATATCCAAATGCTGTGGATATAATTTACTTGGACTTCAGTACAGCATTTGATAAATTAGACCACAGCCTACTTCTTAATTAGATGGAACAATGTGGGATAGAAAGTGCCACCACCAGATTGATATTCAGTTGGTTGACCAACTATGTTCAGCGTGTAGTCCTTCATGGAACTACGTCTATGTGGAAGGAAGCTTGCACTGGGGTAGCTCAAGGTTCTAACTTAGTCCCAGTGCTCTTCAAAAACTTCATAAATGATTTAGATGAGGGGATAGAAGGGATGCTCATTAGATTTGCAGACAATACCAAACTGAGATTAGACTCATCTTTCAGAAGGATCTTGACAGATTTGAGCATTGGGCCTTTTCAACAAGATGAAGTTCACTGATGAGAAAAGCAAGGTCTTAGGCAGGAAAAAGCAAATGCACAGGTACGGGATAGGCAGTACCTGGCTCCATAGTAATATTGAGAGGGACCACTTAAGCATGAGCCAGCAATGTGCTGCAGCTGCAAAAAAAATGCTAATGCAATCCTAGGCTACATTAACAGAAGGATAGAATCAATATCATAAGTGACAGTACCACTCTGTACTGCACAAGTGAGGCCACACTTGGAATACTGTATCCAGTTTTGATTGGGGAAAAAAAAGATGCTGAGACAGTGCAGAGAAGAATAAAAAAAGTGTGACAGGGAGGCTGGAGGCTAAACCATATGATGAACGGTAAAGGGAACTAGACATGTCTAGCCTAATGAAGAGAAGAATTAGGAGTGACATGATCGTTGTCTTCCAGTACTTGAGAGGCTATCATAGTTCTCCAAAGCAACTTAGGGCAGGACAAGAAGTAATGGGTGGAATCTTATTAAAGAGAGATCCAATCTGGAACTAAAGAGGAATTTCCTGACAGTAAGAACAATTAATCAATGGAACTGATTAATTCCATCTCTTGCCTCCATCTCTGGAAGTGGGTGTTCCACTGCTGAAGGTCTTCAAGAAAAGATTGGGGGAGCCATTTGTCTGGGATGCAATAAGATCGCCTGCCTTGGGCTGGGGGCTGGACTATATGATCTCCAAGGTCCCTTCCACCCCTATGATTCTATGATTTAAGTTGTTTGCTGTTGCTCTCTAATTATGTTTTAATTTTTATAATTTTATATGGTTTCATATAAAAGTTTTAGTCTAATATGTGTTTATGTCTATGAAAAAGACAAAAGGTAATCCTTGGTTGACATCTGCTTTGTTTAGCAACCATTCAAACTTACGACAGCACTGAAAATGTAGATTTATGACCAGTTCTTGATCTTATGGCCATGGCAGGATACACACCTCAGGATCATGTGATCACAATTTGGATGCTTTCCAACTAGTATGCATTTACAATGATCCCATGACCACCATTTGAGACTTTCACAGCTGGTTTCTAACAAGCAAACTCAACAGGGAAGCCAGCAAAACATGCAAGTCAAGGTGATGTAACATTGCACTTAATGACCATGGTGGTTTGTTTAATGATTAACTGACATTATAAGACAGGTGTGGTCATGTGATGTGTCACTTAATGGCTGCACCATTTAGCAACAGAGTTGACAATTGCACTTGTTAAGCAAGGACTACCTGTATTTTGTAAAAAAATAAGTAAAAATAAGTAAAAGAAAATACGTAGAAAATAGTTTTATGCATACAAAGAGATATATTTCAGTAGCTATAAAGTTTCTTTTAGCATTTCGATGATGAGAAATCAGCAATTATTCCCTCCCCCAAAAAATGAATAGAATAAAATATGGTAGAAGGTGATGATGCTTACAAAAGAAAACAGATTGGCTTTTTTTATTGTACATGATAAATTTACCAGCACTAAATAAAAATAGCTCTAGAAATCGATTACAGGTGGTCCGCAACTTACAACAGTTAATTTAGTGACAATTCAAAGTTACAACAGCACTGAAAAAAGTGTCTAACGACCATTTTTCACACTTATAACTGTTGCAGCATCTCCAGGGTCACGTGATCAAAATCCAGATGCTTGGCAACTGACTCATATTTATGATCATTGCAATGTCCCGGGATCACATGATCCCCTTTTGCGACCTTCTGACCAGCAAAGTCAATGGGGAAGCCAGATTCACTTAACAACTGTGCTAACTTAACTGCAATGATTCACTTAACAACTGTGGCAAGGAAGGTCATAAAATGAATCAAAACTCACTTAAATCTCTCACTTGGCAACAGAAATTTTCAACTCAATTGTGGTCAAAAGTCGAGGACCTCTTGTATATTAATTATATTACATTAATTATATTACATTACATTATATTATATTGTATTATAATTCACACATACGAACACATCCAGTTAAAAGTTGCCATGTCAATTAAAACAGAGCAATGTAACTGAACAGCTGATTGTTTAGAAAGTACAGGTAATCCTTGCTGAATGACCAGATGCAATTATGACACCTTTTTTTGCCATAAACTCGCCTTTTGGGTCAGTTTCCAGCAAAAAAAACCAACCATAGGAATGCATTGACTTGCTTAATGACCTCCGCACTCACTTTATGACCATGTCATTCACTTAACTACTACAAAAAAGGTTGTAAAATCAGGTCAGTCACATGGATGCCTCAATTTGCAACTGTCATATCTTCATGGAAAGTCCAGGCTCCGGTACGGTCAAGGACTGCCTGTACACAAATGATTCTATAATACTCAGAAGGAAGGTTGCAGGAATTCATCTAATACATGAATACATTTGCCACCTGCTCTAGGTGTAGAAACCACTCCGTGTAAGACTACGTAAATGCAAATGTTTGAATCAGGACACATGATCAATATCTAAGGGGGTTTTTTTCCAGCATCCTGAGATCATGCCATCTATAATACTGTAGATCCACAAGTTTTCTGAATGAATATTGAATGAAAAAGCACAAGACATAATCACATATTGTCTTTTGCCTGTTGTTCATGTAAATCTTTTTTGTGTGTGTGCCCTCTTGTGGTCATATTTACCTTTAATCATCTTGAGAGGAATTAACAAAAGTAGACTTTTTCAAACAATGCCATAATTATAAGAAAAGTTCTTGAAACAATGTTTCTGTAGTCTCACTTGTGCACAAATCATTCAGAATGCTTCCTATGTTGTGTAGAGCTAGAAGTCATATAATCAAGCTAGAAGTCATATAATCAATGGAATAATCCCACTGAAAAAAAAGACAACTAATTCTAGTTTCTGATC